TGCCGGCCGCGGACTCGCCGCCATCGCTGAAGCAGAGCGCCACGCGCCACCAGAAGAAGGGATGTCGCAGCTCGAGCTTGAAGTCACCACTCAGCGCGTCTTCAGACCCAACCAGAGCCCCCACGCAAGGCCACCCTCTCAACGACTCGAAGGTATTCTGCGCGGACGGAGGCGCGGAACCTTCGATGCGCACGGCTTCGCACGCCCCTACACCCTCAAGCAATTTCTAAAGGTGTACCCCCACTGGCGCGACCCCACGGCAAAGCTCACTGTGGAACAAGAGGAAGAATTGGCGCGTCACGAAGCTGAGAAACTTCGCCAACAAAGCCTCACAGAAGCGCGCGGAACATTCGCTTGCGGCACATGGGGAGCTGGAGCGGAAGAGAGTGCCTCCAATGAAGGGGGTGGGGAAGCGCTGGCGGATGGGGGACGGGGGACACTGGCGGATGGGGAGACACCGGCGGAACCTGGGCAAGCGCAAGTGGCGGATGGGGCGTCGCGTCTGGTGGCGACGACAGCGGCTGGAGAGCCTCCCGTGAAGAACAAAGGGGGAGAGAAGAAACAGAAGCAGTTGAGACAACACCCGCAGTTGTTCCCCTCGGTCGTCCCCCGCGCCAAACTCCACTTGCACTACCTCCCCCTGACACTCCGTTGCACCACGATCCGTGGGACACCATCCACTTGGGCAACGAACCATCAACCCCGCGTCGCACCGTCTACGGACCTGCTCCCGAACCGCGTGAACCTACTTTCGTCCCTGGAACCATCCCTGGGACTAACATCCCGCTCTCTGAAATTCGCGACAGAGAGTTCTTGGCGCTGATGCTGACTACCGCGGCAGAAGAAGAAGAAGCAGAGGAAGTAACAGCAGAAGCAGCTCCCATACCTGACGAATACCCAGAGGAAGCACGCGCGCGCTACATGCGCACCTCCGGCTTTCGCGCTGACGACGTCCTCTGGCACCAGCGCCTCGGACACCCTTCTCGCGCGACGCTGAAAAAACTGCATCGACGCAGGCTTCTTCGCTCCTGGCGCACTCCTGCGCCCTGATGGCTCCGAAGTGAGAGGCGCGACGCATCCGCGCAACTGCACCGTCTGCCCTGAAGCTGCACTAAGCCATCAACCCTTCCCGCTGCTCGAACCTGGAACGAACCGCTACCCCAAGCTGCACAAGGTGTACAGCGACTTCCTGAACGTGGGGCACTGCGGAGTCGAAGACGAGATGTACACGCTTACCTTCATCGACGCTGGAACACGCTACGTGTGGGCAGTAAACGTCGAAACACGCAACAGAGCCTACGAGGTATTTCGCCTCTGGCTGGCGCATGCGGAGCGGCAATCTGGAAAGAAGCTCAAGATCTGGCAATCTGACGGCGCGGCAGAGTTCAGGAGCAACCAGATGCAGACCTTTCTGACGCAAAAGGAGATCGAGCACCATATTTCTCTCCCCTACGCGCACCAGCAGCAGGGCGTAGCTGAGCGGACGAACCGCACGCTGATGACGAAGGTGCGCGCGCTGATGAAGCAGTCGAAACTGCCGCCGATTTACTAGACCTACGCGATGCACCACGCCGTGCAGGTGCACAACCTGCTCTCGACCACCGCAATCACCGGTAACTTGTCCCCACACGTTAAGTGGACTGGAACGAAAGGGGACACATCGATGCTCCGCGTGTGGGGGTGCATGGTGCAGTACCGCCCGCCAACGTCAACCATCGGCAAATTCGCCAGCCGCGCGCGCTGGGGAATTCACCTCGGCATCAGTCACGAGTACAAGGCGTGGATCGTGCTGGACCTCCTCAGCCAGAAAACTGCCCATGCTCGCGACGTAATCTTCTACGAGCGCCTCTTCCTCGAGCAATTCCGCCACGACGAGCAGACAAACGCGAACCGCGTTTACGCCAACGATGGCCACAGCTACGCAACGCCTGAAGACGAAGCCGCTGCAGCAATTCTGGAGCAGGACACGAGGGGAGAGTTCGCATGGGAGGATCGGCGCAGCAGCGACGACGACGACGATGATTCCCTGGGAGGAGGAATAGGCGGAACAGGCGGAAGCGGAACAGGCGGAAGCGGCAGAGGCGCAGCACCACCAGCACCACCTGAACCTGAGAGCGACGACGACGATGTGCAGGAAGTCATCCCGCAACGTCGCCACGACAGCACCGTCTCAGGACTGCAGCTGCTCGGGCTTCACACCGCAACCTCGAAGGCGCCGCGCATCATCGAGCCCCGAAACCCGCGCGAAGCTCTCTCTGGACCACACAGCAAGGAGTGGCGTGAGGCGATGGACGCGGAAATCAAGGCACTGGAGTCACGCGACACCTGGGTGCTCGTCGACCGCGCAGCAATCAAGGGCGCAAGAATTCTCTCGGGGAAGTGGGTCTTCCGCGTGAAGACCGCAGCGGATGGGACGATCGAGCGCTTCAAGGCGCGTTGGGTGGTTCGCGGCTACGATCAGAGGCACGGGATCGACTTCGACCAAACATTCGCCCCAGTTAGCCGCCACACTTCCGTCCGCATCCTGCTCGCTATCGCAGCTGCGAGGCACCTACCACTTCGCCAGATCGACGTGAAGAACGCGTTCCTGTACGCGTTAGTAGACGCCGTGATTTACGTGGAGCAGCCACACACCTATGGCGAAGGAGACTCACGCGTATGTCAGCTACGCAAATCACTCTACGGGATCAAGCAGGCTCCGAGGCTGTGGCAGCAGTACCTGCACAACATCCTGCTTGAAATCGGGTTCAAGCAGATGCCGCATGATCCAGGGATGTACCGCCGCGATTTCCGCGGCGAATACATTCTCCTCACGGTGTACGTCGACGACCTGCTTTACACAGGCTCAAACAACGAGCTTCTCGAGCAGTTCGAGAAGGCCTTGGCGGGGTGTGTCAACATCACGTGCAACTACGAGGTGAAGCAGTTCCTAGGCCTCAACATCTCCTACGCACCTGAGGCCATTCACCTCTCAGCGGCTAAGTACGCAGAGGAGTTAGGGAAGCGGTTCAACATCTCACCTGCACCCCTCTCAACTCCCTACCGAACCCCTGGACCGAACCACAAACCCGACAACAAAGCCCTATCCCCTGCTGGGATTCAGACTTACCAGCAGCAGTTGGGATGCCTCCTCTTCGCCTCTGTCACCTGCAGGCCAGACCTCTCGTACATCGCTAGTCAGCTGGCGCAGTACTCACGCAAACCAACGGCTGAAAATCTCCTGGATCTGCAGCGCGCTCTTCAATTCTTCGTTTCAACGCCCAAGATTGGGCTGTGCTACTCAACTGCACCAACCCCATCCTTCAACCTCGTCGGCTACGTGGACGCCGATCACGCAGCAGATCCTGATAATCGACGGTCCAGGACTGGCTTCCTGTTCCGACTCGAGCCAACGGGACCAATCTCCTGGAATTTACAGAAGTAGGAGTTGGTTGCCCTGTCATCACCCGAAGCGGAATTCATCGCAGCAACCGCAGCAGTTCGCGAAGGCCTCTACCTGCAGGAACTTCTGCAAGAGGCGAAAATTCCGGCTTCGTCCACGTTCCGCCTTCACTGCGACAACCAGAGCGCGATTCGCATCGCGAACAAACCTGGTTTCGTCAACCGCACCAAACACATCGCGCTGCGATACTTCTTCGTGAAGGACGAGGTGGACAAGGGCAAGGTCAACTTGACCTACTGCCCGACCGGTGACATGGCAGCAGACTTCCTCACGAAGCGACTGCCACGCCAGCAGTATCAGCACTGCTCCGAACTCAGCGGCGTGGTCAAGCAGGTCAAGTCGAGCTACGGCCAGGAGTGAAGGGGGGTGTTACGAATAGTAATATTTGATATTACTGTACACTCCTCACCGCAGCAAAGAGAAGCACGCAGTATCGGGAATGAACGCGAAGCGTCAGACGGTTGGAATTGAATCGAAGCGTCGGACGGTTACAGCACATCAGGACTGTCGGAGCAGACGGCATCGGGCAGCTGCAGGCAGGATGGTTTTGGCGGGAACAGTTACGAAACTGTACGCGCCGCACGGTTGGATATGTATTTGAATAAGGGAATGTACCCCTTAGAGTACATGGCTAGCTAGGTCGTTTCGTCTTCCCTGTACTCATATTTATATTTCCTGTATTTGCATATTTTAAACATCTCAAGCATTTACATTCACTCTGCTATTGAGGTTAAACGGCCCACCAACTCTACCTTACTGCGTGCGAACCTTCCTGAGTAGATCCTGGGCTACGATCAACTTCTGATCGCAGCAAGTATTGAACTTCTAGGATTGAGTTAGTATCTCCCCAATGTAGTTCATTTAGTCTTCCCATCTCTCCACTGGATTCACTTCCTTACCAATGTTACATTCTTAGGTCGACGGTACACTAGCTGATCTCAGAACCACACCTTGCTTCTCCATCCCACTACGGAAAGAGATACGCATTTTTTATGTCGGGGACGGCCCTCTCATTTCTTGATTGATTAGTGCGCCACCCACTAAGTCACATAGATTTCTACCCGAAACCTCGCTCCAGAATCCATCTGAGTGATAATCTCCAACTGTGATATTTTTAGTTGAGCTCTAAGCTTCCCTAGATTCCACCTCACGCTCTGCCCCTTCTCGCTGCCTCACCGCGTCTACCACCCAGCTTTTGCTTCTCCCCGCAGCTGCTTCGGCATGGCTGCCTGCACCAGATGCTCAGGAGCTGCCGCAGTCGGCCGCCTAGTAAGGACGAATCGTACGCTTCTGCAACCATCCACATGCTGCCATGTGTCGCCCACCCGTCGTTACGCGTCGTCGCGGATCTCGGTCGCCTTTTTCTCCTCCCGCGCATCGGCGCAACGCGGCGCGGCGATGTCCTCCTGCCTGGCAGCGCCGGTCGCGAGGAGAGCGGCGCGACGCAGCACACGCGCGTGGTCGGCTCTGGGTGGCGGCGCGGCCTCCCTAGAACCATCTGCGGACGGAGAATACAGTCAGCTTGCGGAAGAGACGAAAACGAGGGAGCAACTCGACGATGACGTTCAGGCAGTCGCGGATGAGGTGCGAGGGGTTGGTTCCTCGCACCACATTCACTCTGCGACACACTCACAGGAAACAAAAGGATGCCTCTTTATTTCTCCGTAGAGTGCGCAGGAGGGGGGGGAGACGACGGAATTAGTGGGATTTAGGAATGCCAGGGCTGCGAGCGCGTATTAGAACCGTACAGGTCCCACTACTCATAAGCTGTCGCTCTTATCAGCTTCTCTTGCGTGCTGCTGTTGCCATGCCCCCATCAGCGCGCGCTTCCGCCCGAGGTCTCCCCGGACGCGGGGGATTCAGAGAGCAGCAGTGGCGGCAGCAGCGCGGACGAGGGGTTGGGGGACAGCAGTCTCGCGGACCTCATTGACGCCGCGCTCGCCGCCGCGCACGCCTCGTGCTGCACGCAGATGGACCGCCTGCGCTCGCAACCCGTACGCCGCGCCATCCCTGCTCGCTCGCTCGCTCCTCTTCTCCCTCTATCTCTCGCCCTCCCTCCCGCGCTCCCTCCCTGTGCATGGCCGTGTGCGTCGCGCCATGCGCGCATGCCACTGCACGTGCCAGTCGTCTGCTGCTGCCGTTGCTCTTGCGCGCCTCTCTCCACCTCCCATACACTCCGTTTTAATTTAGGCCCGAAACCCACTCCACCTGCGCCCACCGCTCCCCATCGCACCTGACCGTCCCGAACCCCCCCTTCCCCGGCGTGTGTGGCATGGCAGGACGTGGAGGCAGTGCACGACCTGAGGGTGGCGGTGCGGCGCCTGCGCGCCACCGTTTCCGTCTTCTCCCCATTCATCCGTACGCCCGCCCTCTCCCACTGCCCCTCCCCCCCCTGCTCCCCCACTCCCGCTACTGCTGCTTGCTGCCCCCACCTTCTTCGTTGCTTCCCCCACCGACCCTTTCCCCCTAAGCCGTCTTCCCTTGCGTGCTCACACACGCGCTCATGCTCTCGCTCGTTCCTATCTCCATCTGCCCGGCCATACCATGCACACACACCACCCAACAGCCTCTCCACTCAAAGCCCTGCGAACCTGTCGTGTCATCTCCCCTCCACCACCCCTTCCCCCCTTCCCCGCTTCTCCCCGCTTCTCCCCGCTTCTCCCCGCTTCTCCCCGCGTCTCCCCGCTCTTCCCGTCCCCAACCCCTCCTCATTCCCGCCGCCACCCCCAGAGGTGCCTGACGCCCTCAGGCCGCGCGCGCTGGGGAAGCTGCTGCGCGCACTGGGGGCAGTCAGAGATGCTGACGTCATGCTGGTGAGAGGCTGACGTGGTGGCGTGGTGTTCTTTGGGGGGTATGGGATGCGAGGGTGGTGTGAACGGCATGGGAAATTTTCCAGAGTGCAGGGGCGGCCTGAAGGCCGAGGGGGGTGTGGAGCGAGCATGGGCCAGGAACGTCATGCACGCGTGAGTGAGGTTATTGCGTGCGTTGGTGTGTACTTGCTTGGTCCTTCACTGCTGCACCATTGAGCCCACGTGCCCGCATCCCACACATACTGCCTGCTGCTGCGCCTGTTCTTCTCATTTCTCCCTGCCTCCCACTGCTCTCACATTCCTCCAGCTTTCCCCTCTCCTTCCTCCCCTCTCCTTCCTCCCCTCTCCTTCCTCCCCACTCCTTCCTCCCCTCTCCTTCCTCCCCTCTCCTTCCTCCCCTCTCCTTCCTCCCCTCTCCTTCCTCCCCTCTCCTTCCTCCCCTCTCCTTCCTCCCCTCTCCGTGCTGCCCTGCACCCCCAGGAGACGCTGGCAGCAGTACAGCAGCGCGTGAGCGAGCGTGGGGTGGAGGAGGCGCGGGGCGAGCAGCGGGCGGTGGGGCGGTTTGAGCACGCGGTGCGCAAGCGGCAGAGGCGCCTGCTGCGCGCCGCGCTCTCTGCCACGGCCAGCAAGGACGCCCACCACACCATGCACGCTCTTGAGGTGCGCTCCTGGGGGGCAGTGGACGGGTGCAGTGGATGTTGCGGTATTAGGGGTAATGCGGATCATTGGAGGGGAGGGCATCTGATGCGAGGTGCCGAAGCATGTGCCAAGACAGATTGCGAAAGGCTCTGCAGGGTTCTTCTCCGGAGGGTTGGTCTAGCAATTACTTAAGGGGCTGTTGTGCCCTGCCGTGCTGTGCTGCACGGTGCTGTGGTGCTCCCCACCTGCACTGGACCAGCACACTGACTACTCGCTCCCGCCTCACCATCAACAACCACACTCATCCATCGCCCTCGCCCTCTCCCCGTCCCTCCCTCTCACCTGCACTTCACCATCTCCCCATGCGCCCATTGCAACATCTCCTCCTGCCTATGCGATCCCACACCCCTGCTCGTCGTCTCCCCCCCTGTGTGTGCGTGTCACATCAGCGGTGTGCGCAGGGTGTGAAGCCGCTGTCGCCAGCAGCAGCGGTGCTGCAGCAGCACGTGGCACTCTCAGCGCCCTCTCTGCTCACCCCACACATCGCCGCTGCTCTGCTCAACCACGCGTGGTCCATCGATGGTCTCTCCCTCGCCCGCGCCCACACCCTCTTGCACCTTTCCCTCGCTTCCCTCTACGCCACCTCGCATCCTGCTCTCTCCTTACACCTTTCTCGCACGCATCACTTGCCGTGCTCCCAGTTTTCTCTCAGAGACTTACACATTGTGTTCCGTCCACCCCCACCCTCTCCCCGTTGCTCCCTCCTTTTGCAATGGCCACCGGACTGTGGCCCGGCATGGGTTGCAGATCTCGTGACCCTCGAGCTCACCCCCGGTGCTGCTCAGAAACAGCAGCAGGGAACAACCAGCATTGGTGGCAGTAATGGTGATGGTGCTGGTGGCGGTGACAGTGGTGGCGGTGGTGGTGAGCGGTGCACAGTGGTGTACAGGCATGACATCATGGACCACATGCATGCTCTGCGCAAACTGCTCCGAGGCAAGCCATCCCTCCACCTCTGCTGCCTGCCCTCGCCCTTTCTTCCCCTCGCATCTTCCCGCCCTTCCCCTTCCTTCATCATTTCCTCAACGCCTCTGCTCTAGCGCTTGACCAGTCGTCTCTCTCGTTTTCTCCCACGCCATGTCCATGCTGGCAGAGCCCACTGTGAACTGCATGTCGCGGCTATCGCCTGCTGCGGTGCCCCATGCTAGTGCAACTCACATGTGGGGGATTTGGGGGGGGAAGTCTCCGAGTGTGTGTTTGTTTGTGTGTATCAGTTGGCGAGGGCGAAGTGAAGATGGGTCTGTGCGTATGCCTGCATGTGTGCACGTCTGTTCAAACAATTGTACAACAGTGCATTGTCTTATGCCTCTCTGCCGCTCTCCCTCTCCCTCGCTGCTACTGCGCGCACACGCGTGCCCCACAACAGAGCTGCGGTACCGCATGGACCTGTTGGAGGTGGCATACCCGGCGGGCGGGCGCTTCCCAGGGGCGCTGCAGCGCGTGAAGCGGCTGCAGAGCATTCTGGGCGAGCAGCAGGACCTGCACGTGCTGGCGGACGCGCTGCTGCCGCATGCTCGCCACATGCCCGCCACCATGCTCGCCCTGCGCTCCCTCCAGCTGCAGGTGCCCTGCTGCTCCTGCGCTCACACTCACATGTGCTCACACTCACATGTGCTCACACTCACATGTGCTCACAATGGTACTCAAATGTGTGCGGGGTGTGAGCACATGTTTCCTATTGTGGCCGTGGGTGCGTCTGGCCGTGTATTTCCTACATACATGCATGCTCACTGTCTTTCAATGTCTCTGTGTGTATGTGTGAGCATGCGTGCGTGCGTGCGTGCATGCGTGCGTGCGTGCGTGCGTGCGTGCGTGCGTGCGTGCGTGCGTGCGTGCGTGCGTGTGTGTGTGTGTGTGTGTGTGAGGGGGCGTAATGGGGGCAACAGGTATGGGAGGAGTGGATGGATGCACGGGGGACAGTGCGGGGGTTGAGGGAGAGTCGTGCTCTCTACAAAGCAGTGCTCAAGCCAACACCCAACTACACCCCCCCGTCCGACCTCCCTCACAACCTCCACCTCTCCCCCACACCCTCTCCCGCCTCTTCATCCCCGTCCTCCTCCCCCTCTCACTCTGCTCTCCCTGACCTTGCATCTGAACCTAACACAGCCCTCAGCCCTCCAACGCAAGCAACTTCAACCTCCTCTTCCGAAGCCACCTCTACATCTGTTGCACCCACCTCCACCCCTCCACTCTCCACACTGGCTTCTGGCACGTCGCTCTCACCCCCCATTGCTGCTGCCACACCCGTGGATTCCACAACAGCACCATCAGCACCACCAGCACCACCTGCACCACCAGCACAACCTGCACTACCTGCACCACCAGCACCACCTGCACCACCAGCACTACCTGCAGCAGCTGAAGCAGCAGAAGCGGCAGAAATGGCAGAAACGGCAGAAACGGCAGAAACGGCAGAAACGGCAGAATCGGCTCCAGCAACAGTAGAAACAAGGGTAGATGCAGGTTCAGGAGCAATGGTGGAGGGCGTGAGTCCTGTGGGGGGTAGAAGGCGGAGGAGGCGTGTGCGTGCTGCAGAGACAACGACCAGGCAGCAGGAGGAAGGAGGCGAGGAACGGGGCTGATGTGATTTAGGACCTAGGAGCTAGGAGTTGCTGGAGGACTTTTTTTATTAGTAGCACCTTAACCTTGAACTCTAGCCTCATGAGCAAATGCAGCAGCAGGGCGATGCTGAGTGCAGTGCCTGGGCTTGTATGCTTGTGTATAAGGTCAATGTTTGGATTTTCACAAAAAGCTGCAGGTGAGAAAAACTGTGAGGGTACTTCTGCTTGGTGTAGTGCGGTATGGGTACAACACTATCAACCACATACTGAGGCAAGTGGTACATATTCTTAGATAAAGCACAGCGGTCCGTATCACTTTTGTGCTTTCATCCAATGCAATCCAGCTTCTTCAATCCACTCTCTGTAGTCAAAGACTGATGCAGCCTCCGCATCATTGCTTCAAAAACTCGAGTATGACCAATTGGAAGTTGTATGAATACGTTACACAACTACAATACACCAACCCATGCTTCCTACAAACCAAATATCCTTCCTTCTGACCTTTCGTCCCACAAGACACCCATTGCAGCAACACTATCCCGCGTGTCGTTCCCAACCCCAAGCGGCACGTATATAGTGAGTCTCGAACAGTTACAACGATCCGGTGAGCACGGAGCAGAGAGAAAGGAGCGCGGATGAAGCAGGAAGAAGCGAACCATCACCACCGCTTTTGATCGTATTGGTTGCCCTTGCGCCAACCTTTCCTTCCCCCGTACGAGTGGCGCGCGGGCAGTGGGGGGTTCTCACGCGCGCGTGGCGAAGGAGACGGAGGCGCTGTGTCTGCCGGACGCGGAGCCGCGCAGCCAGCGCCGTCTGTCGCGGCGCTCGATCTCCTGCACCATCTGCACGTCCGTGGGCGCCACGTGCCTGGCGCGCCGGGGAGCGCGGGCGGCAGAGGGGAGCGGAAGATCAAGGGGGAAATGGGGACAGGGGGAAGGGGAGGGGATGGAAGGAGGGGAGGGAGGGGAGTGAGTGTGGGAGGGTGGGAGCGGGGAAGCGGAGGAGCGGTCGTTTATCCGTGCGGGTAGCGCGGCTCTGCCAAGGGAGTCCTCCGGCTGCGCTGCAGCATGCATGCCTGTGGGCCCGTGCAGGAATGATGCATGAAACCAGAGAGCACAAAAGGCACAGTCCGCAAAAGCATGGCATGACGTGGCAGCGCCAGCATGCACTGCGACCAACCAGCAAGGCGGGCGCAACGCGAAAGAGAGCAGCGGGTGAAGGAGCGCGCACCGTGCAATGGCGCGCACGACGAAGGAGGGCAGGAGCGCGAAGACGGTGGCGAGCAGCACGGTGAGGTAGAAGGAGGGGCGGAAGAGCAGGTCGTCCGCCACCCCGTGGAAGGAGTCGCACCACGCGGGCGGCAGGCGGCTGACGACGCCGAGGAAGAGGAACCAGAGCGCCATGGAGCCCCATATGGCCGCGTGGTGTATCGCCGTCCAGTACTGCTCCGCACCGCCACGTGCACGGGCGGGAGGGAAGGTAGGAGAGAAGGTGGGGAAGGGAGGCGAGGAAGGGAGGGTGGGGGGGAAGGAGAGGGGAAGGGCAGAGAGGAGCCGGGATTGAGGAGAGGGTATGGGTAAGTGGCATGACCAAGTGAAGGAAGAGGCATGCGCATGCATATCTTGAGCACCCTGTTCATGCGAGCACACACTGCCTGCACATAGCACAGTGGCAGTAAAACCCTCAAAACCCCCGTCCTCCCTCCTTGCCCCCTTCCCCTCGTCCCCCTCCCCGCGCACCTGCAGCGTGGTGGCGAGCTCGAGGTTGACGGTGACGACGAGTGCGGTGAAGAGCAGCGTGCCCTGCGCTGGCAGGTCCATGGTGCGCCCATCCGCACCCGACGCCGACAACACGAAGGGCAGCAAGCACACCAGCACGAGCGAGAGCGCCTGCACGTCGCCCTTGACCATCCACAGCAGCAGCGACCGCCACGTGAAGTTGCTGTTGCGCTGGCACTGCGAGGTGGGGGTGGGGAGGGGTGTGAGGTGGTGGGCAATGCGCGTGGTGCAGTGTGTATGGTGATTGAGTCAGCGGTGTTGTAGGCACACAAATGGGCACGGCACAGCAGCTAGTGGGTTAGAACACACCAAGAGGTGCACGTTGGACGAAACGGTGGGGCCAGGGGTGGCAGGAAGGAGAAGGAGGAAAAGGGGGGGGCGAAAGTGGTTAGCACGCACGTGCATGTAGAGCTGGGGGTATCTGAGGCGGTAGGTGTCCTTGACATCCTGGTCGAACGCCCCCAGCACGGCCACGGGCAGCGAGCTGAAGACGAGCGGGTAGAGCACGAGCAGCCAGTCGTAGTACACGGGCGTGCCGGAGAAGAGCGTGAGCGCGTTGTAGAAGAAGATGGTGAACGTGAACGTGTGGCACTTGTACAGAAAGTACTTGATCATGCCCGTCAGCCGCACGTAGTTCCACGCGCCGTGCACGAGCAGCAGGCGCTCGAGGAAGCGGAACTGGCCCAGGGAGAAGTCGGCGGCCATGGCGGCCTGGCGGCCTTCCTCGCCCACGATGCCCACGCCGATGTTGGCGCGCTGAATCATGCCCACGTCGTTGGCGCCGTCGCCGATGGCCAGCGTGATCAGCCCCATCTGCTCGCGCACCAGCCCTGCGATCACCGCCTTCTGCCCGGGGGACATGCGGCAGCAGATCACCGACGCGCACCCTGCGGCAACTTCCAGGAAGTCGTGTGCGAGCGTGGGCTGTGTGAGGATGAGGGACAGCGCCTTGCCGTCCAGGATGAGGGCCTGCTTCGCTGGGATGGCCGTCAGCGGGTGGTCGGGGGGCCTGCCCTCCTCTCCATCCCCTGCTGGCGTGTCGTCGTTGGTGTCTGAGTCGTAGTTGGCGTCGGATGAGGTGGCGTAGAGGGGCGGTGTGGGAGCGGAGGAGGACTGGAGGGCGACGAGGCCGTGTGCGCGCAGCTGTGCTGATGCTTGCTTCGCCTGCACCAGCTGCTCCTGAATGGACTTGAATGCGTACTGCACATGGGCATTGCGGGGGTGGGTGGGGCAGGGGAGGAAGATGGGATGGAGGATCAGGGTGGGTGCTTGGCTCAACTCTGTGCTGGTCCAACTGTAGCTGCTGCCCCGCGTGCAACTACTCTACTTCTTTGTTCCCCGCCTTCCCCCCTCCCTCCCACACCCCCCTATTCCCTCGCACCCCCCCCAACCCTCCTGCACCGCCGTGCAGCACGAGTGACGCGCCTGGTCAATGTCCATGCCGGCCTTGTCAGCGGCAGCGAGCATGGCGTCGTTGTCCTCGAGGAAGAGCACGTGCTGCTGCATGCCGTGGCGCAGCAGGCGGCACGCAAACCCAATGTTCACGGCCGTCTCCAGCTTGTCCCCCGTCATCACCCACAGCCGGATGCCCGCCCGTGCTAGCGCCTCGATTGTCGCCGGCACTCCAACCTGCATGGCGTGCCGCAGCCGGGGGAGGGTGAGGGGGGGGGGCAAGGGGGAGGGAGGGTAGGAGAGGATCAGGGCGTGGGAGGGAGATGGAATGGAGTGGAATGGGTTAGAAGAGACAGCAAGACGATAGAACGTGATGCTGATGGTTGCACTTCCATCAAACTGCCCTCTGTAACCAACTCTGATGGATGCTGATGGCAAGTACTCAAGGGTACAAATTCAGTTTTGTTCGACCCACTCTTTTTTAGCATGCCCCAACCAGCTGACCTGTAGTTTATCCTCGATAGCAGTGGCCCCTAGCAGCTCCAGCCCGCGCTCCATCTCATCCGCCAGCGCGTCCAGCTTCCCCGCCTGCACGCCCGCGTCCCCCACGAACCCCTGCGCCTCCTCCCACCGCGCCTTCCACTCCGCGTACTCCCCCTCGTCCACGTCGCGCCACGCCACCGCCAGCGTGCGCAGCCCCGCCTCCGCGTACTGGTTCATCAGCCGCTGCGTCGCCGCGCGGTAGCGCTGCGCGGAGGCGGAGGGCGCGAGGCGGTCCATGATGACCGAGTCCGCGCCTTTCGTCATGAGCACCAGCCTGCACAGCGGCGTGCGCACTATCACGCTCATGCGCTTCCTGCCGCGCGGTGCCACAGGGAAGGCGGGACAGGGAAGCGGAGGGGGGACGCGAGAAAAAAAAAAAAGGCAGTTTAAGACGCGCCGGAAAAGTAGGGAGCATGTCAGGCAGCAGGAAAGGGAAGCGCGGCGAAGGCGGGTAGCGCAGAGTAACCCTAATCCCGAACCGTTCAATTCACCGTTTCTCCCCAAGCTCCCCACCCAGCCCTCCGCGTCCCACCCCCGTTCCCTCCGTCAGTCCTGTCCCCTGGCGCTTCCCCCGGGTGCGCGCGTACCGGTGGCTGGTGAAGCGGAAGGTGTTGAGCACGGCGTACTTGTGCTGCGCCACCAGCTTCCAGTGCTTCGCGTACTCGTTCACGCACACGTCGCGCCCCTCGCGCCCCGTGAACACCATCCCCATGCGCTTCGCCGCCACCAGCAGCGCCGCCTCGTCCGGCGACTCCGCCAGGAACCGGACCTTGGGCACCGCCGCGTCCGACGCTACCGGGCCCACTGCCCCCAACCCGTCACTCGCGTCCCCTCCGCGTGCCCCGTCCGCGTCCCGCGCGCCGTCGCCCTTGTCCGCCATGACAGTGTGGCAGACGGCGAGCACCTCGAGGAAGCGCCGGATGTCCCCCGCGGAGCTCTGGTAGCGCCAGTTGAGGTCGTTCAGCCGCGGGTCGCGCATGTTAAAGCCCTTCTCCAGGGGCTTCGTGGGCATGTACTCGCGCGCGTACTGCGCGCCCTCCTCGTCCCCCCCCTCGTCTTCCTCCTCTTCCTCCTCTTCCTCCTCCTCCTCGTCCTCGTCCCCGTAAACCGTCCGCTGCCGGTGCTTCCCCGCGGACGCAGCTGGCGTTCGCGCCCCGCCGCGGCGCCCGGCAGAGGCGGCACGCGCGGCGGCGGCTCGCTCGACCTCGGTGTGGCCTGTGCCGTAGCTGATGCCGGCGATGGTGCACTTGAAGAAGTCCATCTGGTTGCGCGTCAGCGTGCCCGTCTTGTCCGATAGCACCACTTGCACCTGCCTCGTGCACCACGGGTAGGACAGGGGAGGGGGAGGTGGGGCGAGCGGGGGAGAGGAGAGCGGGGGAGAGGGGGAATGGGGAGAGAGAGAGAGAGAGCGAGAGAGAGAGAGGGTGATTGTGAAGAGTGCGGGAGAGACAGAGGGAGAGGGGGAGGGGAGCAGGGGAAGGGAGAGGGGAGTGATTGTGAAGAGAGGTGAAGAGGAGTGGTGGGGCATGGCGTGGAAGAGCGACAACGAAGCAACATCAACTGAGCTGCACTTTCACCCCACCACTCACCAACCTCCCCCACCGCTACCATGCCCCCACCACCGCTCACCACCCCCTCCCCCCAGTGGTCACCATGCCGAGCTCTTCATTGAGGTTGGAGGTGCGGGCGGCGGCGGGCACGTGGCGGTCGTGGAAGAACATGAGGGCGTCGCGTGCCATGAGCACGGCCTGTGTGAGCTTCACCAGCTCCACCGTCACGTACAGCGATATCGGCACAAAGTACCCTGCACGCCGTTCGCCCACAGGGATTTGGAGAGGGGTGGTGTGAGTGGGATTGGAGAGAGAGAGAGAGAGAGAGAGAGAGAGAGAGAGAGAGAGAGAGAGAGAGAGAGAGAGAGAGAGGGGGGGAGGGGAGGGGGGGGGTATGCACAAGGTAATCTGCAGAGATCCACACCCTGGGCACGCCGCAACACAGGGGGGGGCGGTAGGAGATTGCATACAAGCCCCTGGAAGGAAAACATAAGGCGCCACAGTAGCACCTCCACATAGCCCACCGTCACCGCACAGCAGCGGGAGCACCCACCGTATAGTACGAGCCCGGTGAAGAACTGCGAGATGGCGGCATATTCCGGCTCCATCCAGTCGAACTGCACGTATGCGATGCCCGACAGCCCGCTGTAATCGTTGGGGCGCAAGTACCATTGCTCGGGCATCAGGTGTGCCAGCGCCAGCGCGAACAGCACCGCTGAGCCCGCAGCGAGCGACAGCAGCAGCACCACCTCGAATATGATCACGTAGTCCAGGCGCCTTTCCACGAAGCTGCGCTTGTAGGGCGGGTGGGTGGAGTTCATCATGATCTTGGTCTGCCGCCCCGTGTACACCACCATGCCCACCGCCCACCCCGTGTTGCGCAGCTGCGACCCGCGCAGGAGAATGTTTTCAGGCCCCAGGAACAGCGGTGGGTTTCCCGTCGCTTCCTCCTCCGCCTCCCTCTCCTCGTCGTAACTATGGGCGTCCACGCCGAGCCGCATTTTGCCTACGAACGTGTAGATGGAGGCGCTGGGGTGTTCGCACTCCACGCGCCCGCGCAGCCCCGCGAGCTCCGCGAGCGACATGGCGTTGGTCTCGCTGATGGCGTTGCGCGTCTTCAGATTCGTCTCGCCGTCGAGGCCCATCGTGTCCACGAAGCACGCGCCGCGATCGCCGCTCGTGGCGAAGCAGATCAAATCCGCGGGGAAGAAGTCGTCGCGGTGCACCTTAACGAGGTCCCCCACGCGCAGCGCCTGCCACACGCACGCCTCTTCTGACCCGTCGGGCCGGATGACCGTGACTGTCCGGTGGTTGATTTCCGTGTCGGAGCGCCCGCGTTTCACGTCCTCGAAGAGCTCCTTGAGCATGGCCAGGCCCACGACGAACGATAGCGGCGCGATGGTCGTCAACGGGCTCACGGGCGACGCGGGCGTGAGGGAGACGAGCGCGTGGAAGAGGAAGTAGATGTTCGCGACGCGGCAGAACTGCTCGAAGAGCGCTTTGGGGATGTATGAGTACCATCTGTATTTCGCGGTGCGGATCTTGTTGCTGCTGAAGCCGAAAGAGCTGTTCTTGGCAGGCTCGTTGACATAGAACCACCGGTTATTCTTATCCTGCCTCCTACCACAAAGTCCACAGCAGTCGCAGAGTGGCGACATTGCGCCCACCTAATGAGACTATCAAACTTCCCTAGAAATTGGAAATAGAGCCTTTGGATCCAAAAACTACATGACTTTAGAATCAGGTTCTCCCAGCGAATGATACCTCTAGCAACGCCCGCCGTCCAAGAGGAGTCCGTTCTGCTGCTACTGACGCAACCGCAATTATCTATGAGCTAGCAAATTGAGCTTTGCTTCTCAAGTTTTAAGACCACAAGAAACGAGCAACGATGAGGAGGTCAGCTTGTCACCAAAATCGAGCTTATGAGAGGAGCATGCTTGCACCAGCGCGTTTCACGGCGCCTGCTCAGCTGCTGGTTCTCCACCGCTGTGATTGCGTGACTGGTGAATGCAAACACAGACTGGCACGGTGATTTTTGACCCGAGCCGCTGGGAGGAAAAGGCTGCAGAACAACCAAACTTGCGCGCCGCGCATAATGGTGGGGGCTGCCACAATTGTTCGCCAGTTCCTGTGGGTCGGGGGCGGCGTGTGTTGCGGAGAGACTTGGCACAAAACCTAAAGAAAAAACACTGTAGTAGAAATTTTCACTCACTAACTCCATAGATTGTATATCTGGTAGTTTGGTTGGATGTGATGTAGACATGCATATAAAGTACTGGTGTGTGATTTCTGATCAAACGCTGTGATATCAAGTTTTCATCCTCATAGAAAAGGATAAATGCATATGATGCACTTGAAAATGCTTGTACCTTTCCTCCAAAGAGTGCACACATACAGATGGAAGTTCGTGCTTTTGTACGGATTGGAAACAGAAAGTTACAGTGGGTGTGCATCTAATGATGCTTTAACTAGAAAACAACATAACGTGAGATAAACATAACAATCATACCTACCGTGATCAGGGCCCAAAATTGGTTTTGGCCTACCCTTACAAATCAGGGTAACAGCCCCTCCTTGAACAGACCCCTAGGGTAAAATTTTCCGTACCCTGTTGGCAGCAGGGTAAATCTACCATTACACTGATTTCAGCAGGATAATTTTATATATAGTCTGTTTTCACTACTAGTAATTTCTACAGTAACAATAAAGTAGCACGAAGCTGTCCTTGACGCGCACCTCTGCTCAGCTGGCAGTGGGTGTGGCGTGGTGTGGCTCGATTCAGGGGTGTGTTGCCAGTCCAGTGTGACAGAATGACCATGTATATAACTCAATACGAACCTATTACTGGTATGTGTCTCAGTAAGTTGTATGGCAGAATCTAAAGATTCAGATCACAAGGTTGCGGGCTCAAATCCTGTGGGCGATTGTGTCGGTTCTGCCATTTCGCAAGGAAAATCCTCGCTACAGAGGATTCTGTATTAGTGTAATGTACAGCGCACCCTGATACTGTTAAATTGTAATGTGTTTTATGTTGGTAGGCTGTAGTGGGGTAGCCAATATGGGGTACAACCCCAACTAGGGTTTGCTACTTGTACCCAACTGTTTCATTCAATGCATCATTCTTGCCTAGTCCTGTCAACATGGTATCAGAGCAGGAGGTCCCTAGGACCTACCGACCGTTTTTTTAGGGCCCACCACCGCTCGCATGCGGTTACCACGCTACCCCGTGCCCTAGCCTCGTAGCGCCCTCGTGCGCCCTCGTTAGCGCCCTCGCGCGCCCTCGTTAGCGCCCTCGCGCGCCCCTCGTTAGCGCCCTCGCGCGCCCTCGTTAGCGCCCTCGCGCGCCTCTCGTTAGCGCCCTCGCGCGCCCTCGCTAGCGCCCTCGCGCGCCCTTGTTAGCGCCCTCGTGCGCCTCTCGTTAGCGCCCTCGCGCGCCCCTCGCAGCGTCGCCCGCCCGCCGAGCCGCCCGCTCGCAGCGTCGCCCGCCTACCGCGCTGCCCGTTTCGCAGCCCGCCCGCCGCGCTGCCCGCTCGCAGCGTCGCCCGCCCGCCCGCTGCCCGCTTGCAGCGTCGCCCGCCCGCCCGCTGCCCGCTTCGCAGCGTCGCCCGCCCGCCACGCTGCCCGCTCGCAGCGTCGCCCGCCCGCCTCGCTGCCCGCTTGCAGCGTCGCCCGCCCGCCCGCTGCCCGCTTCGCAGCGTCGCCCGCCCGCCGCGCTGCCCGCTCGCAGCGTCGCCCGCCCGCCTCGCTGCCCGCTTGCAGCGTCGCCCGCCCGCCCGCTGCCCGCTTCGCAGCCCGCCCGCTGCGCTGCCCGCTCGCAGCGTCGCCCGCCCGCTGCCCGCTTGCAGCGTCGCCCGCCCGCCCGCTGCCCGCTTCGCAGCCCGCCCGCCGCGCTGCCCGCTCGCCGCGTCGCCCGCCCGCCCCGCTGCCCGCTTCGCAGCCCGCCCGCCGCACTTCCCGCCTGCAGCGCCGCCTGCCCACCGCGCTGCCCGCTTCGTAGCCCGCCCCCCGCACTGCCCGCTCGCCGCGTCGCCCGCCCGCCGCGCTTCCCGCCGAGCTACCTACCTGCAGCGCTGCGGCAGCTTCCTTTGCTCAGTCGCACTGTCGCTATGGCTTCCATCCGCGTGCTGTCGTTCGATGCTGAGGGCCGCCCTGTGAAGTTCGCCACTTGGCTGGATGACCTGCAGCTGTTCCTTCTGAGCGATAGCAAGGAGCATGTGTCGCTCTATGATTACGCGTCTGGTGCTGCACCTGCCCCTCCTGCCACAGCTGAGCTTAGTGTTCGTTCCCACTGGCAGACTCGTGACGCAGCTGCTCGCCTAGCCATTCGCAGTCACCTGCCGCTAGCTGAGCTCGAGCATTTTGGCGACTGCAAATCCGCTAAGGCCCTGTACGATGCTGTCGTTGCTCGCTACTCCTCGCCTGCCACAGCCGAGCTTAGCCGCCTCATGCTGCCGTACCTGTTCCCTGAGCTGTCCACCTTTGCTACAGTCGCCGATCTTATCACCCACCTTCGCACTAGTGATGCTCGCCTGCGTGCCGCCCTTCCCACCGAGTTCTGCGCTAAGAATCCCCCTCCACTGTACTGGACACTCCACTTCATAGTCACCCGTCTCCCTGACACCCTCAGCTCAGTTCGAGACCACTTCCTTGCTCGCTGTCCCACTGAGCTCACAGTCGCCCTCCTAGAGGAGCAGCTGCTAGCGGCCGAAAAGAGCATTGTAGCTGTCGGTGCTGCTCGTGGCGCTCCTCGCACCCCCATCTTTGAGGGGTGTTCTCCCTCTCCCCTCGCTCCCTCCTACGCTACTGCTGCTGCTGTTGACTTCCTTGGTGCTGAGTCTGCTGGCGCTGCTTCTGCTCCTGGTGGGAGGCGCCGCACCGGCAAGGGCAAGGGTGGCGGGGGTGGCGCTGGGGGGGGAGGAGGTGGTTGAGGTGGGGGGGGAGGCGGTGCTGGAGGGAGCGGTGGCGGGAGCGCTGGTGGGAGTGGGGTCGGCGGTGGAGGCGGGGGCGGCGGAGGAAGCAGTGGCAGTAGTGGCGGCGGCGGCGGTGGCGGTCGGAGCGGTGGTAGTGGTGGCGGCGGAGGTCGGAGTGGAGGCACTGGCTCGGGCCAGAGCTCCCAGCAGCAGCAGCGTCCCCAGACGACCCAGCAGCTTCGTGAGTGGCTTGCTCAGCGTGGGACGTCGGGGGGCAGTGGCCGCTGTTCCTATGTCATTCGCACAGGTGACCGCAAGGGACAGACGTGTGGGAGGTTCCACACCCCGTACCGCTGCTTCTCCCGCCTTGACGACGCTTGGCGTGAGGAGATGGGCGAGGATGTTGAGCGCCCCCGCTGGGCTGAGCTCATGAGGGCTGGTGTTGATATCTTTGCTCTTGACTATGATGCTATTATTGCTGCCATGTATGCATTGACTGTTAGTGCCGAGGGAGACTGTTACTTGTGTGTGCCGCCCGACCCAGGTATAGAGCCCGCTGCCCTGGGTACTAGTGAGTCTGCTCTCTCTGGTATGGTGCCCCGTGTACTTGCTCCCTCCAGTGCTGTCCCGGCTGTTTGCGAGTCTGCTCTCTCAGGTACAGCACCCACAGAGACTGCTCTCTCAGGTACCGCACCGGCTGAGGCCTGTCACACCTTCACCCTTGACTCAGGTGCTTCCCGCTGTTTCTTTCGTGACAGTACTGAGCTCACACCGCTTCCTGCACCGGTCCCAGTCTCCTTGGCTGACCCCTCTGGGGGCCCAGTCCTTGCCCAGTCCACCACTGTACTCCCTTGCCCAGTCCTTGCCCAGTCCTTGCCCAGTCCACCAGGTGACGGCGGTTCCGTCTGGCTCGTTGTCGGGTTTCCACCTCCCCTCGTTCTCGACGAACCTGGTGAGCAACGCTGTCATCCAGGATCAGTGGGTTGACACCTTTACCCTTGGAGGACAGCGTGTGGCGATCTGCACGTGCTCCAGGACCGGCCGTCACCTGGCTACGTTTACCCGTCGGCCGGGGTCGAGTCTCTACACACTGACCACTGCGTCTCCTCAGGTCGCTGCTGTCGGTCAGGTGTCCGCGTCAGGTCTGGTGGCCCACGCCTGTGAGTGTCGTTCCCTGTCGCACCAGACTCTTCTCTGGCACCACCGCCTGGGTCACCCCTCCTTGCCACGCCTCCGTGGCATGCACCGTCGCCGCCTTGTGTCTGGTCTTCCCAGGTCCCTCCCTCCCCTCCCTGCCTCGCCTGCGCCGCCTTGCCTTCCTTGCGTCGAGGGGCGGCAGCGCGCCGCTCCTCACTCCTCCTCGTTCCCCCCGACAGAGGCTCCTCTGCAGACCCTCCACCTGGACGTGTGGGGCCCAGCCCGCGTTCGTGGCCAGGGCGGTGAGCGGTACTTTTTGCTGGTTGTCGACGACTACTCGCGTTACACCACGGTCTTCCCCTTGCGCACCAAGGGTGAGGTCCCTGCTGTTCTGATCCCTTGGATCCGCACAGTTCGTCTCCAGCTCCGCCGCCGTTTCCGGACGGATCTTCCTGTCCTGCGTCTGCACTCTGACAGAGGTGGTGAGTTTTCCTCCGATCTCTTGAGGACCTTCTGTCAGGCGGAGGGCATCGAGCAGACCTTCACGCTTCCGGACTCCCCACAGCAGAATGGGGTTGCTGAGCGCCGCATTGGCCTGGTCATGGAGGTCGCTCGTACCTCCTTGGTCCACGCGGCGGCTCCCCATTTTCTGTGGCCGTTTGCTGTCCGGTACGCCGCGCATCAGCTCAACCTCTGGCCCCGTGTCTCCTTGCCGGAGACCTCGCCCACACTGCGTTGGACGGGGGAGGTTGGCGATGCGTCGCGCTTCCAGGTGTGGGGTGCTCGTGCCCTTGTCCGCGATACGTCCGCGGACAAGCTCTCCTCCCGCACGCTTCCCTGTGTCTTCTTTGACTTTGTCCCTGACGCGCCGGGCTGGCAGTTTTACCACCCCACCTCGCGCCGGGTCTTCGCCTCTCAGGACGTCACCTTTGACGAGTCGGTCCCTTTTTACCGTCTCTTCCCCTACCGCACTGCCCCCCTCCCTCCCCCGCCGCTTTTCCTTGCTCCTGGTCCCCCTCCGGTAGACCCCCTTCCCCCTCAGGGTCCTGCTCCTTCAGGTGTCTCTCAGGTAGACCCTCCTCCCGTCGCTGAGCCTGTCGAGGTCACAGGTGACTCAGGTGCTGCTGCAGGTGGTGCTGCTGGGAGTGCTGAGCCTGGGGGTGCTGAGCCTGCGGGTGCTGGGCCTGGGAGTGCTGGGACTGCGGGTGCTGGAGCTGAGGGTACTGTGCCTGGGAGTTCGGCGCCTGGGGGTGCTGAGCCTGGGGGTGCTACGTCTGGGGGTGCTGAGCCTGGGGGTACTGCGCCTGAGGGTACTGAGCCTGGGGGTGCTGCTGCTGAGCCTACGGAGCCTGGGGTTGCTGCGTCTGGGGGTGCTCTTCCTGGCGGTACTGGAGCTGCTGGAGCTGACGGTTCTGGACACGGTGGTCCTGCTGGTTCTGGAGGTGCTGGCGAGGGGAGGTCTGACGCTGCTGGGGCCTCTGGTGCTGACGTCGCCGACTCGGGGGGTGCTGCGGCGGAGGGTGCTGGTCCAGGTGCTTCTGGTGCTCCGGGTGCTGGAGGTGCTGGCGGAGCTCCGCCGTCGCGCCTGTTCTTCGCTCCTCCGTCGCCGTCGGCTTTGCCGCCGCCTGACACGGTGCTTCGCCAGGTTCTTTCCCTCCCGTCTTCCACTGGCCTTCCCCTCCAGCCTGGCTCCCCCCTCCCTGCTCCTGTGCCTTACACTGCACAGCCGGACTCGCTTACGGAGCGTCGTGAGCCTGCGTCTCGTCCTGCCTCGCCTGTTCGCGCTGCTCGCACTGCTCGCACTGGTCCCACTAGCCGTCGTGTCGCGCGTCCGCGTCCTCCTCCTGTTCCTGGCACGCACATTATGGCACTTCGTCCTTCCACTGGTCCACAGCGTGTCCCCCTACCGTCTCCTCCTGCGTCTTCTCTTCCTGACGTTCCCGACCCTGAGTCTGACAGTGTTCGTGCTGCCCACCCTACTGTCACGCGTCTTCTCGCCACTGTTGTCACTGACCCGTCGTTTGAGTCTTCTGCTGCGTCTGCCCTGGTCGCTGAGCTTGTCGACTTTGCTGCTGCCTGTCGCCTCGACTACGCCGCCAGTCTTGTTGCTGGGTCTGAGTCTGTCTGTCCTCCGTCCGTCGGGGGTGAGTGTGCTCTTGGCACGGACGTCCTTGAGGACAGGCAGGAGGACTTTGACTCTCTTGCGGCTGCTGTACCTCATCTCGTGGCCTGGTTGCTTGCCCCTGAGGGAGACCCGGATGCACTAGACATCCCCACTCCGCGCACTTACGCAGAGGCGATCTCGGGTCCCTACTCCTCTCAGTGGCAGACAGCCATGGACGCAGAGATGGCATCCTGGAAGTCCACAGGCACCTACGTCGACGAGGTTCCCCCTCCTGGGGCGAACATCGTCGATGGCATGTGGATTTTCAGGGTGAAGCGGCCGCCAGGTTCTCCGCCTGTCTTCAAGGCTCGTTACGTTGCTAGAGGCTTCAGTCAGCGTCAGGGGGTCGACTTCTTCCAGACCTTCTCCCCCACCCCGAAGATGACCACTCTTCGGGTTCTGCTGCACGTTGCTGCTCAGCGTGACTACGAGCTTCACTTTCTTGACTTCAGCACAGCGTTCCTGCAGGGCAGCCTGCACGAGGAGATCTGGCTGCGCCGCCCACCTGGCTTTACTGGGTCGTTTCCTCCTGGTACCCAGTGGAGCCTCCGCCGGCCAGTCTACGGTCTCCGCCAGGCGCCACGTGAGTGGCACGACACACTGAGGACTACACTTGCGGCTCTTGGGTTCGCGCCGTCTACTGCTGACCCGTCGCTGTTTCTGCGCACAGACACGTCGCTGCCGCCGTTCTACATTCTCGTGTACGTCGACGACTTGGTCTTTGCTACTGCTGACACTGAGGCACTCGCTCGTGTGAAGTCGGAGCTGCAGAAGAGACACACGTGCACTGACCTGGGTGAGCTGCGTAGCTACCTTGGCTTGCAGATCACCCGGGACAGAGCTCGCCGCACCATCACCCTGACTCAGTCACACATGGTGCAGCAGGTCCTTCAGCGCTTCGGCTTCCAGTTCTCCTCACCACAGGCCACACCTCTGGCTACCAGCCACTCGCTCTCAGCTCCACCTTCGGACGAGTCCGTAGAGCCGAGTGGCCCGTACCCAGAGCTTGTAGGCTGCCTCATGTACCTGATGACTTGCACGCGACCTGACCTCGCGTACCCTCTTAGCATCCTTGCTCGTTACGTTGCGCCTGGGAGACACAGGCGAGAGCACTGGGAGGCTGCTAAGAGGGTGCTGCGTTACTTGTGCAGTACATCAGGCATGGGGCTGGTGCTTGGAGGACGCGACAGAGTTGTCCTCACTGGTCACTCGGACGCTTCTTGGGTGGACGACCTGGCTACGCAGCGGTCGTCACAGGGTTACACCTTCAGCCTTGGCTCTGGTTCTGTCTCGTGGCGGTCCACCCGCTCTTCTTCTGTTCTCGGCTCTAGTTGTGAGGCTGAGATCTACGCCACGGCCATGGCTGCACAGGAGTTACGCTGGCTCACCTACCTGCTGACTGACTTGGGAGAGCGGCCTAGTTCTCCTCCAGTTCTGTACGGTGACAACAAGGCGGCTCTTGCCTTGTGTCAGGAGCACAGACTGGAGCACAGGACGAAGCACATTGCTCTTCGCTACTTTCTTGCTCGAGAGCTTCAGCAGCGCGGTCAGCTTCGGCTTGTGTACGTGGACTCGAAGGCCAACACTGCTGATATCTTCACCAAGGCGCTCCCGCCTAGTGATCATCAGCGACACTGTACTTCTTTAGGCCTTGTGTCCACATTCCCTCATTTGCTTACTGCTTGACTTTCTTTGTACTGTACTTTATATATATCTTGTTGCTTGCTTGCTAGGTTTTGATCACTGTGTTGCTTGTCTTGTACTATATCTAGCACTGCATGTGAACTGGCCTTGTGGCCTTTGCTTGTGCTCGGAGTGTGGTGACGTTGTGATCCACCCTGGGCTTGCGTTGCTTTGCTGGACTGGTCTTGTGACCCTTTGTTCTCCCCCACTTTGCCTATGGGGGTGTGTTAAATTGTAATGTGTTTTATGTTGGTAGGCTGTAGTGGGGTAGCCAATATGGGGTACAACCCCAACTAGGGTTTGCTACTTGTACCCAACTGTTTCATTCAATGCATCATTCTTGCCTAGTCCTGTCAACAGATACAGCCAGGGCTGGCCTCTCGATATCAGGGTGATTCACCCTTATGACCCTTACTATAAGGGCGGGTTTGACGATGCACCCTTTTCTACAAGACTGGTTTTGTTTTAGACCTTTACAAAAAAAAGTGATCGATTGTACGACACTGATATTTCAGAGCTATGTGGTGTAGTAACACTGATGAAATCGAGCTTGATCTAAGAGAGGATTCTAAGATTGGTCGCGTAAAACACAATTTCCGCGTCGGATGATCGCGCTGGGTATCGAACTTGGGTCTTCCACATAACTACGAATCAGTCTACACACTACAACACGAAAATGTTGTACGGTCGAACTGCTTGAGCTTTTCTTTATTTTTTTGCACCCTGCTTTTTAAGAGCAGTTTTTGTGAAGCACCCTTACTGAAAGAGTGACAGCTAAGTGTTGGCCTTACGTGAAAGAGTACCCTAAATCCTATCCAGAGGCCTGAGCCAGGGTAACCGAAATCGGTATCAGTGTAAAAAAAAAACATACTCTTTTTGCGTAAGGGTAAAAATCTTGGAAGCCTGATTTTGAAAGGGTAACTCTGAAAAAGTGGCCGGCACCCAGGGTAATCAGGGCATTTTACCCTGATATTTTGGGCCCGTGATCAGCTTATTCACAATAACAACATAACGTGAGAACTCTCTTGTGAGGTGTTGTAAACTGGAGAACATCCTTGTTGCATCTTAATAAAATGCTCTTTGCTGTGCTATGACTTCAGCAGCCCCAGCTAGGTTACTAGGTGCCTGAACTTGCATGTTACCGTACCAGTATCATTAAGAACCTCCAGCGTTGGTATACACCGGTAAAATACAACCGTTCCAGGTAGGAGGCAAAAGTTCCAAACTAGTGAAGCATACAAAGCTCCATGGTCCATAGGTAGCTCATTCAGCCATGACAAGCCAACACAGCAAATAAGTATCCAGAAGAATCAGTTAACACCAAGCACTAACCAACCAGCCAACCAACCACCCTAAGTCCTGTAATAATGAAGCCCATAGTGTCATATCCTATGCCTTTTTAAACTGGCCCCGCACTGCACCATCAGGGTATCGCTTCGTAAGAATGTTCCCGTAAAAGCTCGTTGGTCTTTCGACTATTGCCACTAGTGCAGACCTGAGTTCGTCCCACAGCCTTATATCGTGCATCCCAAGCGAACCCTCGCACCGCCAGAGTGTGCGCCTGCCCTGCTGTTTCTGTGGCAAGTAGCGGCAGGGCAAATCAATAACCCTTTCCCCATTCCAGCCTTTCTGTGCCGCATGTATCTGTGTCTTGATTGGGGCTGCGTATCCTTCCAGCCCGACTGCAATCACTTCATAATTCATCCCAATGGGGCCCCTGTCATCCCTTGAGCAACGAGGAGGCAAAAGCAGGCTCGCTGGAGCGGTTAGGTGGACAACGGCAGGGAGAATGGCCAAGCAACAAGACTCTGATAAGCAGCGCTTTTTAACCCGTAATAAGCACGTTATGTAGCAGAGGGAATTTAGCGTGACACTCGTGAAAGAGAAAGTTAATTGGAAGTGGGGAGGGATGAGGGAAGAGGTGGAAGGCGTGTGGTTGGTACTTGTAAATCTTGAGCCTCATGAATCCAATTCCACGGCGGTCACCGACCGTTTTCCTGCCGAGCTTGGAGTCGTTATGCGGGATCTCGTATCGACCCATCAACGTGGACGACAAATGATCTGACACGCGCAAGGCCCCAGGCATTCGGAGGAAAATTTTTTAAAAAGGAGGAGAAGCAGAGCGGCAGAGACAGCTTGCACGCGGGAATGGCTGCAATTTTGAGTTGACTAAAGCGAGTCGACGAAGCAATGAAGCAAGGAGGTAGCTTGACAAGGGGAAAAACACAGATATCATTCCAGATGAGAGTGCTTACTCATGCCGCTTTTGTCCGCCAACGCAGCTGTCACTATCGCCATGAGGAACGCTGCATCGGGGCCCACGTACGTCAGAAAGTAAGCGCGAGCACAACCGCCACGGAAACAAACATTCTTGCGACCTTCGCTTTGAGCTTTCGTCGAGTTGCTGAGACTGCAACGCAATTTCTCTCTGTGCTTACCGAATAGAAGTGCGAATTGCACGCGCGATACTGCCATTCCGAGAACTCGTACGAGAACAATTCTGTTACAAAAAAAAACAGGTATGAAGAGGAACCCCGGCCACGTACGAGAACTATTCTTATACGAAGAAAACAGGTATGAAGAGGAACCCAGGCCACGCCAGGATAGTAACTCGAAAATCGGAAAGGCCAACTTCTGTCTTTCTTTTCCGCTCGGTTATCCAGAGCGTGGAATCCGCGATATTTCCACATGGAGGCTTTGTCAACAAATAATTATGACGCAAACAGTGGAGTGAATGCAAAGCCTTCACTACTTGAATGCCAAATATAGGATTGGGCGGACTTAGCGTCGTTCGCGCATAATGGCGAAATGTCATGGCGCGAGCTGGAAGTTCAAAGAGCTGATGCGCGGTGCGAGAGGTATGAAATAATCGTGACGAAATCGCGCGCATCGGCGGAAATCGTGTTTGTCTCAAAAGAATCGACCCAAATTGCTCCCCGCTCGCCACGTGGGCGTTTTTCTCAATTGATTCGACCCCCTTTCCCCCGGCCCCCCCACCCCGTTTTTCCCGCCCTTGCCATTCGAAATTCGGGCACCCGCTGGAATTTCGTGAAATCACAAAAAGTCGATTTCCGCCGATGCGCGCGATCTCGCCAATAATCGTGCACGAAACGTGATACAGCTGATGCTCACCCCATGCACGCGAATTTGCCTTGCGCCGGATGGATACGCTGCACCCGAGGTCGTTTCCCCAGCCTTATGCACCTACATTACAAGCGCGTCGCGTGGTTATCAACCAATAGTAACGAACAAACAAAAGTCAAACCAGGTACAGACCGAAGTCAAGCAGAAGAGACTGAAGTCAAACTAGGTTACAGATCTTGTTTATAAGCACATGCGAATCCTTTTTAGCTAGCTGCGAATTGACGAAACTTATGCGAAATGCTCGTGACAGCTTATACGCCCCCTTCGTAAGGCAACCGGGAGGGTTTCAAACAGGCATCAGGTGTATGACGACTGGCAAAGATCTGCGGTGCGGGGGCGGGGGGGAAATGGTTGGGCGGTGAGGCGGGGGTGTGGGATGTTGTGGGGGAAAGGGAGGGGGGAGGCGGTACGTGAGGGGACGGGGGACGGGAAGGGGGAGCGGGTGGAAGATGGAAAGGGGATGGGGAGTTCCACGGAAGAGACAGCAATTGGACAACCCACAAGGCGTGATCTCCGCCTGTGATTTCGCCTACGCTTCGGTTACGGACCAGCGTAGTTTGTACTCGTTTAAGTGTCTCGTTTGTAGGCTTTATACTGACTTATTTTCTCCTTTAGTAGAGCTTACACTTCAAACGTAATATGCTTATCACGAAATAGAAGTGCAAGGAGCACGTACAGTACTATCGCATAAGTAAACCAGTAACTAATTTAGGAAAGAGTTTGAGTAAGCTAGAACAATTTATTCATAAAAAGCTTGGAATATGAAAATAAACAGTCTTATGCCAACTACCATATGTTGAAGAAAAGAAATATGATAAGATATGGAGTTTATGAGCACTCATTCATCAGGTGCATCCTATATCACGAGACAGACACAAAAATAAAAGCCCTTATTAGAATAGGTCCCAGCCCTAGATCTGTCCATCGTTCAGTAGCAGAACCATTCAACCAACCCCCACCCAGCCAACCACAACATATTCCCATGGAAAGAATGCTCATACGGAAAGCTGCCTGGCATTCCCATCTTTCAGAGGAACCAGGCACCGATATTACCAAATGGACAAAGGGCGTCGCAGTGAGCCTTAAAGACATGTGGCGGGTTGGAGACACCGGGTAATTGCCAATGAGCCAATCCCACAGCAGACGTAGCTGTACACTTGAGCACACTCGAGACGAGCTCTGGGTTCACGTCGGCCACATGACGCTCTTGCCACACAGCCCTCAATACCGTTCACCAATCGTCTCACACAAATACACCTCTCTTTTCTCCCAGCCCCCCTCTTTCCAGGCACGAAAGTATCCCGTTTCCCTTCCTGTCCCCCATACATGATGCCTCGTTATTTCCCCTTTCTACACAGCATTACTCGTGGGAGGAGGTTGGATCTCCTTCGTGACGCGCGGATAGACGTGCACCTTCACTCCTCCCCCTTCAACAACCTCCTCGTCGGTTTCTTTCTGTATGTAGCAAAAGCGGTAGCATGCAAGCACGATGAGCGTGACGCATGCGAGGGACGCGACAACAAGCAGCGCAATTCTCCACCATGGAAGGTCTGCTAGCCCATACCCTGCGCAAGGGTGCGAGAAAAACGGCAATATTACAACAACATTAGGACGGGTGAGTCCGTCTGACCGTTGAAGGTACATCCATAACCACTTACCGTTGGAGTGACGTGTAAGGTCAACTCTGGTAAGTGAAAAAGGTGCAAGGAATTGAATAACGAGATTTCATGGAGTATCAAATCACGTATGAATCGCCTTCGGCATGAGCCTACCGTAATTGAACTCGTAACCACCAGCACTCGTGTAATACCATTCCGCATCGCTGCCTGGCAAGCCTTGAAGCAGGAGCAATGTCAGAGCTAAAGGCCACACCGACATTCGTTTCGTTTGCGAGGCGTAAACCGCGGTATATCACAGCGAAGAAGCCGAACGAAACGTGGGAGACAGAAAAGCCTTTATTTTTTTTGTTTGTTAATGAACCGAGAAACCTAGGAGAAAGAAATATGGGTTCAGGATGATGAAACGGGAGTTTTCGTACGAGACCTGCCAAGAAATAAGATCACCAGGTTTAAGTGGTAAAGAATATAGCGACAGTCAGTGGCTTGAGTCTAGTTGGCTCCGCACTACGTAGTGATGACGGTGCTAGAATCTACTTCGCTGTTGTGCTTTCCCTACTAGCTTGACTGTTTCTGCGCGTCTATGTTGCTGCCTCATTGCCAATCAACATATCGACTGTCTTCGGCCGAGATGAGACATGCTGAAGTTGGGGTCTACGCCAATAGACCAGTTACCCTACCGAGTTGCATGTGATTCAATACGGTATCGAGCTTTCGAAAGTTTACGTTAATACGGTAAGCTTTCCAGCGGATTTGAGCAACTGACTGTTTAGGCGGGCTCAAGTATTCTCAGGCCGCTCTTTGTTCATACCGCCTTCCCCTCACTTCCTCGACACTCAGACTACCTGGCCATGGCAATCCTTGCTCACTGAGCAGTCTATATGCGGGGATGGTCGCTCTCGTTCTCTACAGTTGCGTCGCCCCCAAAACAAAACTGGGTTGAGGTCAGAGAGTTTGTGACACACAAACAGCAGCGAGACGAGGGGAGATGTGTTGGTGGGCGTGGTGGGATCCAATAATCGGCATTTGGTGTGGGGAAATTGCATTGCGGCTCGTGATAGGCGGGGCGGTTCGGTATGCTAACCTTCCGGCAATAATGACCAGAAGCCCGAGGGCCAGCCGTGACCTCCGTTAGTCACGGGGTGGTGCTCGAGATATGGACAGCTAGTACACTATATCAGTATCACAATACCATACACAAATGCAGAAGGGTGTAAAACCACTACCTCCTTATGATATTCGAGCAGTTTTATGCCCTTAAGAATATACATGGACACAAACAAGTACCTACAAGTTGATGAAATCTTTAATATAAAGTACGGAGAAATGGTGAAAGTGTGCGGTTATGCAATAAATGTACGCAGGGCGCGACGCGTTATAGTATTAGAAGACTCGCACTAGGATTCCCGATTGGTCATAGGGAAGGGTTGCAGGCACGCTTTCCTCGGGGTTTAGGATCGCACGACCCGCTATTCAACAAGCCCCTTTATCCTAATGCATGGTTGCATGCTACTCCTTGCCCTGGAATCCGGTCAGAACCTACCTTGGATATTAAGGCTCGATAACGAGTGGAGCATTGGTTGTGGCGGTGTGTAGGACGAGCAGCTGTAGTCCCGTGACGTTCGTTCCGTAATGCACCTCAGCAGTTATTTCCTGCTCGTCGTCGGCGTCACTTTCGGGTGCTGTTGAAGGGGTACGTCAGGATGTTTGTCCTCAAAGTCGCGGTCGAGAATCGCCGCTGCTGCCTCGTCTTCTTGAGAGGCGAAGCTCCTGCCTCCGTAGGTGTAGGCTCGTGTAGCTCCCTCTCACTCGTTGGCGCGGTACCTGGTTGGGACATTCACAGAACAGATAGGTTCGCGCATTTTTGCTGGTCTGGAGGACCAGAATCAGCCATCATATGTATTTGTAGCTGATGCGCGCGATCGATGATCTTGTCTGTCAAAATAGTAGGCACAAGTAGGAGCCATAGCTAGGTAAACCCTAGCTAGGCAAGAGAGAAACGAGCAAAGGAGGGTTTGCACTAGCAAGAATGGGGATACAAATAGCAAACCCTAGAAGGGTTGTACTCGCTATAGAGCACCCCACTACAGGCTAGAACATAATATTCTGACACACCCCCATAGCCAAAGTGGGGTGTAATCAGCAGAGCAAGCAAAGCAGTACAAGCTCAGGGTGGATCACAATGTCACCACACATTCTGAGCACAAGTTCAAGAAGCAATAGTTTAAAGTTCACAATTATGAGCAAAGCTAGAGGTAGTCACAGAGGGCAAGTGAGGAGGAGGAGGGCTGGCGAGGGGAGAGAGGAGTGGAGGCGACGACTGAAGCTGCAGACACACGGGCAACAGACGGCTCTGGTGCAGCTCTAGTGGCTACCGGGAGCAAGGGCCCCGGAATACAGGAGTAACAGGCTCTGCGTCTGATCAGCAGCGACAGGAGCAACGGACCCACGGGCGACAGGTGCAACCGGCTCTCTGAGCTACCGGTGGCTATCAGAACCCCGGAATACAGGCGCTGCAGACGACACGACGGCTGCCTCCACCCAACCTCCTCCAACTGTCCCACACCCCCCAACACACACCCCCTGCTGCAACCCCTAACTCCACTCCCACGTCACCCCCCTAGCACCACTCCTTCGGCTCCCCACACACCCACCCCCCTCAGCGGCAGCTGCAGCAGTGGGAGACGGAGGAGGAGGAGGAGCAGGGGACGGCTC